ATGTATGTTTTTCGCCTTATCCTAGGCGGTATGTGCATTTTAGGCAAAGAGTTCCTTCATTTCTTAAAGTCACGTGGAGGGAGTCAGGCTTTTAAATATATCAGACATTGTACATACACTTACTTTCACGCAAGTTTTCTATTAGTAATATTAAAAAGCGATATCATTGTGAAAGAAACAAAGTCAAATATCATCAAATTGTTCAAATTCCGAGTACTTTCTCTTGATTTACATCAAAGGGTAACTAAAAAGCGTCATGTTATTTTGATATCGAGGATATTTCATTCTATTTACAGCAATTGATAATAATGCTTGCGTAATCAAAATAAAATGATAACTCATGTTTCGAGTCTTGGTTGTGATAGCCTTGATGTTAAGCATGAACGTGTTTATTATTTTTTTATCTAACAAACTATTTTAAACTCCATTTTTTGGCCTTAAAAAGGCTTTATACAATTATTCGATTAAAGATATAACTTGTCTATGACTACTGTTGGTATCAAAACAGGTGGCCTATACGCACAACTTTGAAAGAAACAAAAAAAATTCACTGCCAATTTCCGAAAAATGAAACTGAAGACAACTAGAATGAAAAAGAATTAACATTGAAATACTTCGAAAAAGAATCACTTTAATCGAAACTCCACTGAGGACTTAAATTTTTCGTTTGAACTAATTTCAATCTTAATCATTCCCCCCCCCCCCCGAATATCAGGAGGATGGAGTTAATTTGACACGCACGGGGTGAATGTTCACTCTCTGGAAAATAAAGGGAAAGGTTTTGGTAGCGATTGTCTTGATACATTTTGCATGACATATTTACTTGATTTCAACCACTTCGTACTCTGTGCTGGATCTCACCTCAGGGCGAGTCTTCTTATCACCCTTGCTTCTCTGCACTACGTCTTGGTAGTAGACGTGCTGCGACTTAGGATCCATGTAGACTCTGTTCTTGTCGTTTCCTGGCTGTAAGTCCATGTAGGGGTCAGTCTTAGGCACGTGGGCTGCCTTATTGTCCTCCTTCTTAGGGAGGTCATTAAGACGCCTCCGTCTCAGTAAAGCGATGTTGATGATGACAGAGACAATGAACAAGATAAGAAAGGTTGCAGAGACGGCGATTGCTGTGACTGAAGATTTCGCTAGATCGGGTGTGGTTGCAGAGGAAGGCATCCGTGGGATGCTGCCAGAAGGAGGAGCTTGTTGCGGACAGAGAGGACAAAGATGGCAGAAGGACTGATCAGTCACCGGTGAGATTGAGGAAGCCAGTGGGTTGGTTGTTGCGGCTGGTAACACAGTGATCGGTCCGATGGTGCATAAACTTTCCTTATCCTGGAAAGCTGTCGAGATAAATTGACATCTGACAGTATTACCACTATCACCTGCGCCTACAGTCACTTCAGCAGATCGTTTCTCTTCATCATTGATACCGGTACTTGAAATCGCCCATGTGTATACAGAGCCACATGTAACGACTGACACGTGAACATGAGGATTTCCTATATCGGTAGTGCAACTCATGTTGATCTTCGTTCCTTCTTGAACAGTAAACGGACCATCAGGGGAGCAGACGGGGTAGATAGCAGATGGAAAGTATATAACTGACAGAACGTAGTAGTCTGTCGCAAGGGTTGAGCTACCATCTCCTGTTGAGTTCTTTACACGACAAATGTAAGGACCTGTGTTATGTTTAGTAACATTAGCGATGGTAAGCCTTTCATACCGATTCGTAGAAGATATATAATACAATGAAGCAGCATATCCACTGATCAAGGTTGTGAGGTTCCTCGCTATTATAACCTCGGTATTGTTCACAACTCTTGCCCACTCGATGATATTCCCTTCTTCTACGTTGTAGCCGTTGCATTGCAGAACCACTGACTGCCCCTCTCTGGAACCCGAAGATATATACAGAATAACACGTTGTTGTTGTCCGTGCACAATGAGCGGACCAGTGAGGGAAAACCAAATGCTTATCAGGAGCAGATTCAGCAACCAGAACTTTCGATCCATTAGGCCTATAACAAGCCGATCTCTGTTTTCGAAATATTCTGTAATTCTGCGACAACAGCCAGATACGTATACCCGAATAGGCCTACACTTAAATGTAATAGGATAGCAAATATGTGAAACAGTGAATTACATGTCGTTGATTTTATTTCACATTAAGTTTCCGGGTATATCCATCGTTTGCTCCATAAACATAAAGCCCGGTTCATACTTCACGCGAAAGCTTGTGCGAAGACTATTGTTGACGTCACGAATTTCGCTTTGCTTTCGCTTTCGCGTTAAGTATGACCCGGGCTTAATTATCTGCGACAAGCAGCCAGATACATATGTACCCGAATAGGCCTACACTTACATGTAATGGGATAGCAAATATGTGAAACAGTGAATTACATGCCGTTGATTTTTGTTCACATTTAGTTGTGTTTTTTTTTGGTCCGGGTACAAAAATCTTTGGATTATCCCATATCCGATACTCCGATCGTCCTGTACAAAATAATCTGAAGGAAATTATTCTTTTTATCCGTTGGGATTTATGTCTCAATTGTTGTCACAAATTTGACCAGTTCTGGGCGGGGTCATGCGTCTTTGAATAGAGTGCACACGGGGAGGCAGAATAAAGACTAACATGGTCCTCGCTTGGTAAGTCGTTAGGAATCGTGTACAAATCAAATGAAAGGATTTGTAAAAAACAAAAACAAATGCAAGTTTGAGTATAAGATCAACTGGAAGTCCTCAATTGACTGCAGTATTGTGCAATGTCTTCAGAACTTAATATATGTGCTTATAAAAAATAAGTTGGCGAGATGATTGTTAATAATAACAATTATGTGGCATTTATGAGTTTTTCAAAGGTGAATTTCAGCGTGTTTAACAGTGTCATTGAAAGTCCTAATTGTTTGGGATGTTTGGTTATGTTGCAAAAAACTGATTCTATGGGGGGGGGGGCTAGCAACCGTTTCGTGAACAATTGCACAAAAAAATCCTTGCAACAGAATAGTAGCTTCCAGAATGGCAAAAATAGCCCAATGAGGTCAACATGTACCTGCAAATTACCGCCATTATAGCTTTCCCTTTACCTATGTATGTTCCAAAACGAAACCATGCCCCTGAATGTCACATCCGTTACAAAAAAATAATATTAACGCACAACCTTACAAAACGTGGCATTTCTTTCGAAACCGATATGATAGCTTTCTCAGTATCTTACAAGATCATTTCTAATTTTAATACTTTCACTTGCAAAATTGTGCCCTCCGTTTAAAGGTAAAATCTACATATCTTTGCCACTATCATGCACAATTAAATCGATACGCATCAACGATACTTTTTTCCTTTGAAACAAAATCCATCCTCCATATACAAACCGCATTTACAAACCACAAACCACAAACGAACAATGTCCAAAATGACAAAAAAACCCTTTTTTTAAGAGAAAGAAACGCAGTCAACGCAGTCCTCGGGATAGGGCGCCCTCATTCGAGCGGCGCTTCAATGGAGATGCTTTCCCTCTTTCTTCTACCTACTACCGCCCTTTATAACATTAACATGGTCTTGATTCCGGAAAGGTATTACATTTGCACTCTAATACGAAAGGATTCCTTGGTTGTATTGCGCATACCTGAGCAAAAAGATTTAGAACAATTAGTCACGTGTGAGAGTAATTAGAGCCCAACATATAGGATGAAATTGATCAGATTTCATAGGACACCCACATTATACGACAACAAACTGTCTGAGTCTATTTGACCTGGACATAATTGGGTCAGGGAAATCGGATTCCTGGTTAATCCAATCCGTATTGTCTTCTAATTTATCAGCAATGTAGACCTACATGCAAATTAAAAAAAATCCTCGATCGGCTGTGGGACATTTATGGGTCGGATGCTTTGGCTGTTTTACGTTGCTCGTCAAAATCTGTTGTTGGACAATCGACCAAACGGACACAATGGGCGTGAACAAGCGTGCACAAACCAAAACCACCAAAACAAAAACCCTTATCAACGACAGGGCACTTGGTCAGTAACTGGATTCGAACCCTTGATCCTCCGATTGAACAGTCTAAACCACTCTGATGTGCCCCCAAACCCTGTGACTAAAATATGAGCAGACCATTTTGGGAACACTATTCAACAGAACACCCACCATTGTATTATGGGGAAAAAAACACATATAAAGTTGTTGAACATAGACAGTAGAGTTAGAACAATGGTATACAGTTTGTCTCTGGTTTGTTTCACTCAACTAATAATGTCTGTGAAGGACAATACATTTACATTTCAATCTTTTCTTTTCAAATTCGTGTGATGAAGGATTTCCGTTTTCATTCCACATCCACACCACACTAGGAATACGTGGGCATAAAACTTGGCTGGGTAAATAGTTCCATTAAGTTTACTTGATGCAGTTTTCGAGTTTAGGCAAGTAATTAGTTACTTAATGGTTGGATTCTCCGCACGTCCGCAGGTTATTCTGACATACCAATTGATAAATGAATCACCAGGATCATATATAAAGCACATGCATGAAAAATGGCGAAGAAAGTCGTAATGGATAACAGGAGCTCATTATGGATTTAGAATTTATTTCACTACAATAATTTCACACACACACAAAACTACATTGAAAAAAAAAAATAGATCTGATTCCGAAAGTAGGCGTGACCACATTCAAAAGTATGGTTTGAATAGTGCTGAAAAAGCACAATCGCCGACACAAATTGCAAACGGGTCCATATTTACTACAGGAGAAAACTAATTGATACCCTGCACCTGTTGCATAGCGAAGCTGTTAATGAAGTAATTAATGTACATTAATACAGAGTCGATGTCATTTATTCGTTAATTTTCTTTGCATTGTTTAAACATCTCTCGAATTGGCTCAATTGATGGGATATCTAGAATTGATCGCTTTCATAAATCTTTCCAGCGGATGATATAAAAAGAATGTGAAAGGAAGTCCCGTTCACTTCGGGCAGGGCCGAGATTCCAACCACCATGGATGCAGGGCTACTCTGTACGGTTCTCGTACTTGGTAAGTCGTTGAATCATTTTCATTTAAGTCCTAAAAAATTCAAATTCCATGTATCAGTCAAGACTTTAAGTGGCAAAAATCACCACCTCCAATTCAAAACAGAAAACGTCGTCGATGTACTTATATGTGTCTTGGTCGCATGTGTAACGCCAGGCTAGGCTGGGTTAGTACACAATATCACTGCCTGATATCCTAAGCTAAGTGTTAGCTGACAACCTCCCACATTGAAACAGTTCGTGGTGGGCTGGCATCCCTGCCTGGGTCCCAAGTTTTCTCTCATCCATGGCAAAACTGAGTTAACATTAAACATTATGGTAATGCTTATATAAGTAATCTAAAGTGTTTTCGTCCATCTTTATTTTCTAGGTCTGTCTCTCTACGTAAAAGAAGTTGCAGCTATCGGTAATAATTTCATATTTCGTTTTTGAACAAATAGACTAAATTTAGAAGTGCGCTTTCTAGGAAGTATTTCTCTTTAATCCGGATTTCTAATATTTGTGTCTGTGACTCACTGGTTTCCTGCTATATTTCAGATCATCCGTGTGCGAACAGCCCGTGTCTTAACAATGGGCACTGTATCGCTACGGGACCAGGGTACTTCTGCTTATGCATCAATGGATTCTCCGGCGACTTCTGCGAGATAGGTACAATTAGAACTCAAGTCATAATGTTATAATTCCACACGGGCCAATGAACCTCTTCACTTGAAGAAAGTGACTTGCCGTGTATTCTACTCCTATTATTTGAGGGAAATTTAGTTTGCTAACAGCAATCTTAACGACAGTAGGTCTACTGACAATGAAGCAATTTCAGAATAACTGGACTAGCTGCTACTATCCTCCATCCTATATCAATAAATGATATGATAACTTGGACATATTCTCCGGAAGAAACCATACTGTACATATTAAAAAAACCAAAATGAACTCTTTGCTTTGCAAGATTACCCTTAGAGCATCTTCAGGGGATCTAATGTCATTATATTGATTTTTGATTGGACGGCAGAGGCGAACGAATGTTTACCCAACCCATGCCTGAACGGTGCAGTATGTCATGATGTCGTGGGTGGTTACCAGTGCGAATGTGCACCAGGCTACGAAGGAACCATTTGCAACAATGGTAAGTGGTTACTTCATTTGTAACAGTGGTAAGGTCAATACGACCCAGAGCCTATCGTTAAATGACAGTCACTTGCCAGCTCCGAATACATGTAATACATACGTAGCACCATCACGCGCTAATTCAAACACTTTCTGATAACCAAAACTTGTATAAAACGGATTGGAAGATACAGCAAAATATCAAAACTTTGTATCTGTATCTGATGACGTTTAAAAGAGATAAGAATATCCACTCCCTTGCTATATATGTATTTCAATCTCAATTTTTCATCCAGAAATTGACGAGTGCTTACCTGCTCCGTGTAAGAACTGGGGACATTGTATCGACCATGTTAACGACTACGAATGCGAGTGCATGCAAGGATTCACCGGCAAAAATTGCGACCGAAGTAAGAGTGTCAACCATTAAATCTTACCCCACAAAACAACGATATTTGACATTAGAAATCAATGCACTACCTTTTAAGCAATCTTGTTATGACAGTTAAGTAATGACATGATACTTGGACGTGTATTAGGTGTACTCAATATAACTTATAATATCAAATATTTCTGATGGGCAAAACTTGTATAGAACGGATTGGAAGCTAGAGTAAAATGTCCAAACTTTGTATCTGAGACGTTAAAAGACATCATAATGTCGACTCCCTTAATATATACGTATTTCAATCTCATTTTTTTCTTCCAGAAATTGACGAATGCTTACCTGTTCCATGTAACGGAAAGCGCATATCATGCAAAATATACAGAGAATATTACTGTAACGAATATTCAATTTGTTAGGCTAACAATTTCATGAACAGAAGCACAATGAAAAAGTTCCATATAATTCATGCACCATTGTTATCGTTGCAGATGCCAACAATTGTGATCCTAACCCATGTCAAAATGGTGGTGTGTGTTCTGATGAGGTCAATGGATACTCCTGCGCATGCGCGGCAGGATATGAAGGAGACAACTGCGAGACTGGTAAATTATACATTTTTACATTTAAAATCAATATTTGATGTCTGATATTCAGTATTTGTTATTGGGTAATTTGATATTTGGTACATCCCTAACGCATAACTTTTAGGTTAGTTTCAGTCTCTCATACACCTACTTTTAATGGCAGTACCTGCACACATAAACAATTTGACGCCAATTATGTTGGAAGTCGAATATTAGAAATAACCCAAGGAAACCCTCGACGGGAGGCCGTGTGTATTAATTGTGTAAGCTGGTATGACTTGATATTCGGCTAAAACTCTACCTATAATATGTGTTGGTAAACAGCATAACATAATGTTTTGGAAGCTGCACTGCACAAACAGTTAAAGTCGTTTTATAATGTTTTTGAAATTAGCTCACATCCAAAGACTCACGACACTTCGAAAAAAATAACTTTTTCCTTTTCTTTATTTGTTGGACAGACATTGATGACTGCGAGAACGCCGAGTGTGTACATGGATCTCAATGCGTAGATGGTATCAACCGTTACGAGTGTATATGCACTGCGGGCTACGTGGGCGTACACTGCGAAACAGGTATAGAGACATCAACTCACCATTTTAATACACAGCAGTTATCATGCAACACGCTGCTATCTTGGTTGCGCAAGAGCATACTAAACAGACAATTCCACCAATCTATCCATGTGATATGCATAAGGTGCTAGACCCTTAGCACCTTGGTCTTTTATGTGGGTTGCGAGGTGAGAAATAAATTACATTTTAAATTTCAACATATTGTGAAAGTTTACGGGATGAAATTAAGCTTCGCGATATGTTTAGTCCTCAACAGGATCTGCTCTCATTGTTTTGTTGCCTTTGCTTGCTTAGATATTGACGACTGTGCTGGCAATCCGTGTCAGAATGGTGGATTCTGCTGGGACATGGTAGCATCTTACACCTGCTACTGTCCTCCAGGCTACGAGGGAACAAACTGTGAAATCGGTAACGATCTTATGATCAATTCTTATAACGGTTATGATGTCATAAGCATTCTCAGACTGGAATCACAGACGAAATTGCCAATTCTATACAATGAGTGTAAATGACGTAACGGAAACGAAAGTCTAAGACAGGCCAAAGATTTGGACAAGAGAATGACCGAGAAAAAACCTCAAAAACGTTTCTCGTAAATAATGTTTCGAAAGTGTGTAAAGATTGGTTCTTGTGTTTTCAACAGACATTGACTACTGCGCAGACCATCCATGCCAAAATGGCGGAGTATGCATCGATGGCGAAACCTCCTACACCTGCAACTGTATTCCCGGATACGATGGCGTTAACTGCGAAATAGGTAGATAAAAGTGTTTTTGTTTGGCAATATATTTATTAGGGCCTGCAAATGATTGTTAAATCAGAGTAATGCTTCCACTGCATGCACTAACACTCTACTAAAAATAAAGGTGGATAAATTCTTTACATTTCGAGAGTAAACTGCTGATACGCAATTCATGTTCTTACGGACAGATATCGACGACTGTTTCAATGTTGAATGCTTCAATGGTGGCACTTGCATCGATGAAGTCGATGGTTACCACTGCGCATGCGCTGTGGGTTTCGACGGAAACAACTGCGAGAACGGTAGGTAATTAAGTCGAACAAAATATGAATATTTATGAGCTACGATGGTCTTGACCCTTGTTAATAGCTCTTGATGTTTTTGTGACCGTTACAAATATTCGATCTTGTACTTTAACTACATGTGCAACAAGATGCAATTCATCGTCCACATTAATCCATAATTTCCACTTTGCTGCGTCCTTCCAATCTCGTTTGTTAAGTTAACAACTGGTAATTATTTTTTTTTAATTTCTTTCCCCTTTTGAATAGCTTATTGTGCTTATTTTCACATTTTCCCTGCTTAATATTGTCCTTTGTTTCAGATATCGACGATTGCGCTGGTAGCCCGTGTCTTAATGGAGGTATATGTCATGACGAAGTTAACGCCTACCGATGCACCTGCGTGCCTGGATACACCGGCACCCACTGCGAAGAAGGTACATCAACCAATCAAGAGGCCTGAAATCTAATGACGTCACGCTTTGTTTCATGTGCGCTTTCCTATGTGGTAGACGGTCCCTACTTCGTCTGGCGTCCCAACTTCGCTCCCATAGGAAAGCGCATATGTAAACAAAGCCATTACGTCATTATGTCTTATACCTATTATGGAACTCATGTCACTCGGTAAAAAAATAAAATCTTAACAATTTTGGAACGTCACCAAAGAGATTAGGAACATTTACAGGTTATCTAAGGAAAATTTGTGGCCATACAAACAGGTTTTTTTTTTTATCAACAAAGACACGTCTGCGTTTCTATTGATTTTCGTTTCGTTTGAACTAAATTTACAGATCACACAACTATTTCACTTCTCAATTTCAGCAGGATATGGTTACCTTTTAATATATCACTCAATACATCACAGGATATTTTCTTATTCTTTTTTATCCCGTTAGATATCGACGAGTGTTGGCCCGACCCATGCGTATATGGAACTTGCTACGATCTTGTCAACAGCTATCGATGTGAATGCGACGCAGGATACAGCGGGTTTAACTGCGACATTAGTACGAACCTTTCACAGTTATTATGACTGTCACTTTTACTTTGGTCTGCTGGTCATCTTGGTCTAGAAAAATACAAATTATTTAGCTTTTTTAAAGCAATTTCCCTTTTCTTTGATATACCTCACCCTTTATATTAAAATCAAATTATCATTGTGACGATGGATCAGATCTTTCATCGATTGCTTTGTTACTTGACTTTACACTTGTGGCAACGATTTTATGGTCGATGTTTTTTTAAAATTTGTTTTCAGACATTGATGACTGTGATGGAGCTCAATGTTTCAATGGTGGAGTATGTATCGATGGCATCAACTCGTTCACATGTGAATGTGCGGTGGGATACGAAGGACCACGATGCTCAATCGGTAAGCAAAAAAAACCACACAAGTTATTGTCCCTGATAATCCATTAAATGGCAAAACCTGGCCATAATTGTACTATTTGATAAACCTGGCCATAATTGTACTATTTGATAACTCAATTAATCAGAAAATGTCTGAAATGAAAATAAATGAACAGTGTTTTGTTCCCAATAAGTTCGTTCAGTTTACATTGGAGTGTGACTTAACGTTACAAATGTGTATTATTTCAATTTTAAGTTGATACTTATTTAGTGTTCCCCAAAGAAAGCAGAATTAATACAATGTATTTCCACGGTTGCAGATACTGATGACTGTATCGGCGTGGTATGCTTGAACGGAGGCACGTGTAAGGACGGACTGAATACCTACACCTGCAAATGTGTCGCGGGATACACAGGGACACATTGTGAAATTGGTAGGACTCATATTATTCCCAAGACCAAGAGAAATATTCCTTTCTAAACCTGTGCTTCAGCATCAAGTTACATTAGTAATACTTAATTTGCGTATTTTTTTTTTACATTGAATTCACATTGAGTTAGCATTAAACTGTGACTGTCGTAACATTAAGAAAAATATATCATTTTGGAATGTTCGACCAAAATGATTTGGAAACAAAAACTTGCTGTTTAGAAAAAAACAGGATGTTAAAAGGGAGTCAGTCTACGATGCAATTCGTTTTCAATTGTTTTCCATTTTAGTGTGTACATCTAATGCAATTTGTAATGCGATTGTTTTGACTAGACATCGATGAGTGCCTTGGTGTGGTTTGTCAACACGGAGGCGTTTGTGAGGATCATGTTAACGGCTACACGTGTGTATGCCAGCCGGGCTACGATGGAAACCACTGTGAGAACGGTAAGTAGCATCCTCTAAAACAGGTGGTTTTTAAGTGGAGAATACCACAAACTTGACAGCGACAGCAAACGTATTCAAATGCTTGAAGAACATCCAATATGACAATATCACCTTCCTGACGCAAAATTTCATCTTAATTTGTTGATTTTGGTACCCGCTGCTACATCAGATTCGAACCGGCCGACCGACCCAGGCATAACGAGTAGTTGCGTGGTAAGACGTCGGCCATAGTAAGCGCGAGATCGCTGCTTCCATCCTACTTTACCCATTCTATTGTTGCTCACAAGTCCTCGGAAAGCTTCGAGTGTACAGTGTTTATAAATCGGTTTACATACAAAAAAATAGCCATTAAAAAAAAAAAAACATTGAACATTTTTCCAACTTTCGCCCCTTTAACGAATGTCTTAACGAATGTCTTTTTATCCTTCTCTCGATAAGATATTGACGACTGTCTGTACGCTAACTGCCTGAACAACGGAGTGTGCATTGATTTAGTGAACGATTATAGATGCGACTGTCGGGCTGGATATATAGGAGACCGATGTGAAATAGGTAACGTATTCATTCAATTATGACGTCAAATACGTGGTCTTTGATGTTTGTGTATGTTTAGTTCCTACTATCGCAACGTCTTAGGGAAATATATAACAAGTGCTTCACATTTAGACGAATCACTTATTTCTAAAAGATTCAAAAATCTTGATCTTGTTTTTTTTCTTTCTCTTCAGATATTGATGACTGCGCAGGTAATCCTTGTGTGCATGGTTTTTGCATGGATTTGGTCAACGACTTCATGTGCACGTGCTTACCGGGATATGAAGGCAGACATTGTGAAATCGGTAAGAGTGATTTGAAGCCTATGAAGGACGTCAGGGAAGAACAATAGTCCTGAGACCTAATGACGTCACGCTTTGTTTACATGTGCGCTTTCCTATGTGGCAGCCGGTCCCTACTTCGTCTGGTGTCCCGACGTCGCTCCCATAGGAAAGCGCTTATGTGAACAAAGCCATTACGCCAATAGGTATCAGGTCTATTCGTAGAGGCCTGTGTACTAAAAAATTTTACAGTTTGTTTACTTGAAAGATTGTAGGCATAAAATGTTCAAAATAGACAGGTGTGCGTTGGTACACCGAGTGTACCATAGTCAATGAGAGTCAAGCGGGGGTGTCTCTCGGTGCATTAGTTACATAGGTATGTTACTGAGGAAAGACCGAGTGTTTTCGTTATGTCTCTACATCATTGGGATGTGTTGTTACTATTTATCTATGCTTGAATTTCTTTCTCCCTTTATCGACGTTAGATGGAATTGATCGAAATTTAATTAGCTGGATCATATTATTATATATTCTTATATGTTTATTTTTGCAGATATCGACGAATGTCTGGGCGTTGATTGCAACCAGGGTCATTGTGTTGATGGCGTGAATTCATATACCTGTGTGTGTCCTGCGGGCTACGAGGGAGTTCACTGTGAAATCGGTAAGGCATTATTCAGACGTTTAACGCACTATCCAGTTCTGTTTATAACTTGAAGAGTTTAGTCATTGAGTGTGCGTCTTAAGTCAGCATTGACGTCTGTAGCTGAACACATCTTATTGAGTTATCTCCATCTTGAAATGCTCTCAACGCATTTAATGCTTTGGAATGTTTCTGATCACACGATCCTGGGTGTGCCAATAGCAGAGTGGAGCATAAATCGATACGTTTTGAGCCATAATAGTTTAGCTCCGTTCCATACCATATGATTGTTTTGGGTAGAATATTCATTAACCCCTTCTTTTCTATTTCTGTCCCTGTCGAAACAGATATTGATTTCTGTTTTGGTGTCAACTGTTATCATGGCGGGACGTGTGAGGATATTGTGACGGACTACAGGTGTATATGCGCCGAAGGCTGGCAAGGACGACACTGTGATGAGAGTAAGACAACAGTATTCAAATATATCAATTCATTATCAAACACAGACTCTTTCAAGAACTATTGCTGTTCCTATGTAAAACAGCAAGTTGATGACTCCACTTTTAACACAAACTGCCAAATCCAATTCATCTGTTTTCAATGACGTCTTACCTAATACTGTGAATTTTTTTCTGCGGAGGGAAAAACACAGACCAGACAAATTACAATGAAATCGGACCATATTTGTTCTTCGTATGTTTGTTTTGCTTTGTTTGTTAGTGTTTGTTTGTTTTGTCACTTTCTTCTAAACAAAACCCAAATAAATTTATTTCAATCGATATAGGTACAACAATGTACTATGTGTTAAAAATTTTGTAGATAAAAGAAAATACTTATTTCATTTATTATCATACAACAAATTAGGAGATGGGATTGTCGCGCTAACTACTGTCCTAATTGCTTCCACACAGACCCTGATGACTGCGCTGTCCACCCTTGCCTCAATGGTGGACGATGTATTGACGGAATTGCAACATACACCTGTGAATGCCTAGAGGGATTTGAAGGCCGTGATTGCGAAATCGGTCAGAAAAATACTTCTTCTCTTAGATCAAAAGTAGTTTACGGAGTTATCATCTTAACATTGCACTTATTTATGTAAAACATGATTCAGAAATGATCATGAATAGCTAAGATGCTGCAAATAAACAACTGAATGTCTACTTGTATTGTTTTCTATAATTCACGGTATCCAGAGTGTAGGAGAAAAAAATAATAATTATTTGAATACTTATCTGCTAAACACGATATTTTCATCGAATTGGGAGTTATGTGTATTTACATAAGATTACAATTTGCCTGTTGAAGCAACAAAGAGACATCGATTGGCAATTCAGTTTCGACTTGATTTTGATTTCGTTCTTACGTTTAGATATTGATGACTGTGCTGACAACCCGTGTTTGAATGGAGGGCAATGTTTCGATAAAGTCAACGGCTATGACTGCGCATGTCCAATAGGCTACAAGGGCAGAATCTGCGAAAAAGGTACAAGACTGATCCAACATTCCTGCCTGTCGGGAAAGTGCTCATTTTTTTTCGTACAATATAAATTGGCATTAATTTGACGCATTAATTAGGTTACAACTGGAAAAAAGTGACCTTGATGTAAAGGAAACAGATATTGTACTGATTGTGTTTTAGATTCACTATAGCGTAGCTGGTGGATAACATCTTGGTAATAAATGGGACAAAATAGTTTAATGTAATCCTTGAAGGATTAAAAACAATAATACCATTTGTGGATAGTTTACTTCATGTTACCATTTGTAAGTATCTTTCATATATCTGTTTTGCAGACATCGATAATTGTTTCTCCGTAACATGTCTAAATGGCGGTCATTGTGTGGATGAAGTCAACGGTTATCACTGCGAGTGCTTTGCAGGATACACGGGAAGGCACTGCGAAATTGGTAAGAACAAAGAATTATCGCTGGCACTGGCAAATATGAAAACTGTTTAACAATGAAATAGTGAACATTATTTTGAATGCCACCATTAAATACACTTGTAAAATTTTTTTTCACTTATCTTACGCGGAAAAAGCGGTTTAAGTCCAGAAATCTTAGCATTTTTTTTATTTTCTTTAAATCTGCAGTGGTATCATAGAGCAAAGAAATTGATGGATTTATTTTCATTTATCTTTATGCTTCATCCCATTTTTCATTCACAGACTTGGAGAGAATTTTATTAATTTTTTATAAACAGTTCTTCAATAAATTGTGACCCTGTTCTTGTCTTTCAAAGATATTGACGAGTGTGCCACTGCTCCGTGTCTTAACGGTGGTGTGTGCATTGATTTGGTGGATGGCTACTCGTGTCAATGCCTGGACGGCTTCGAGGGAATTAACTGTGAAATCAGTAAGATAGTTGGTTCATCATCCGTGAAAAATACAAATCTTTGCAAATTGTTTTGTCGCACATTATGTTTTGCTATAGCCCCAGAGGGGGCCAGCTTATAGTCAATTTTGTACCTCAGTGACTCACGGACTGAGCCCCTTACTGACTGTTCCTAATTCTGACTTTGCCTGGTAGTTGGCTGGTGAAGACAGCCGGGCAGTGGTAACGTACAGGATTACCCTGTCATACACTAAATCCCACCCATTGTGTAGACCAGATGGATACAACGGCTTCTAATAAATAGCCATCCTAAATCAACTTGGACCAGCTTTACTTTAGCATGCCTTGTCTTGTTTTGATAGTAACCCGCCTCGTCACCGTTACTTCATTACGTCTTTACAGTTTTATGCACCTGTTGAGCTTTGAAGAAAAACAAACATGTTTCTGTTATTGCTTCAGATATTGACGACTGTGTTGACCATCCATGTCTTAATGGCGGTAGGTGTATCGATGGAATCAACAGCTTCCGATGCGAATGTCCTGCAGGCTACGAGGGCGACTTCTGCCAGATCGGTAAGTATATCAAATAAAACAATACATTCACATCTCTTGTGTTTTGTGACAGGTGGAGCATCAAGTTACGATCCTCTGTCGCTTTATACTACTTCTCTTTAACCTTCGACTCTCCCAGATTCTTAATCCATGTTTTGGAGGATTTGTAGGATTTAGGAAGGTTGAAAATTCAGCTCCCCATAAATCGCGAAGTGTTTAAGAAAGTTCATTTCATAGTGATTTGGTTCCTAGAAAACGAATTTGTAGGTATTAAGGAATAATGTAATTTTCTTTGGTACTTCCGTTACAGATACTGACGACTGTGCCATTCCTTCCACATGCAACAATCACGGAGAATGCATAGACTTGGTGAACGGCTATGAATGTCGATGCTTCGCTGGCTACACTGGGATGCGCTGTGAAATAGGTATCAAACTTAAAGCTGTCTCATAAAGAGGCTTTCATCAAACGCTCCACATTTGCAATGTTCCTTTCAAGGCGTTTACATTTGCAAAACTTTTTCTTCCGACTTTAATTTATTCAAAACTTATTTTAGTTTAATCCAGAAGGCAACAATTTAGAAAAAAATTAACACCTTTACAAAGAAGACTACATCAGTATATTTAGTTAAGAAGCATCCGTTGCCATGCGTAGAATTTCACGTTACCGCTTGGTATTAGTCAATCCATGTTTGGTGTTAGTCAATCCATGATTGGTGTTAGTCAATCCATGTTTGGTAAAAGTCAATCCATGTTTCGTGTTAATCAATCCATGTTTGGTAAAAGTCAATCCATGTTTGGTAAAAGTCAATCCATGTTTGGTGTTAGTCAATCCATGTTTTGTGTTAGTCAATCCATGTTTTGTGTTAGTCAATCCATGTTTGGTGTTAGTCAATCCATGATTGGTGTTAGTCAATCCATGTTTGGTAAAAGTCAATCCATGTTTGGTGTTAGTCAATCCATGTTTGGTAAAAGTCAATCCATGTTTGGTGTTAGTCAATCCATTTTTTTTTAATTGTTCTCCTCAGATATCGATGACTGTGCCGATTGGCCGTGTCTGAACGATGGTGTATGTATTGACAGGGTAGATGGATACCATTGCGAATGCCTGGCAGGTTTTACTGGCACACACTGCGAGGAGAGTAAGTAACTAACGGCACAAAAGTAATGTCTTATTGACGATCAATACCAAGTTCGCAGCCACTGGAACAATCCATACTTTCCAAGTATAAGATACTGTTGTTGTTAGTTGATCCATGCCAGAAAATTAAATAGCAGAGGTAATATTGCCAGCTCCTGGACTTCTACATGTCTTATTCACGGCCAAAGCAAAATCCACTGCTACTGTCAAAGTTTAATACTGACTCGACGTCTCGGTAGATTCCACTGGTGCTGCGGCAAATATTTGTAAATTACGGTTCATGTTTTTGGCCCCAAATACTTCAACAAATTACGTAAGCCGGGAAATCATTGCAATCATATCATCATACTATGATGGCGCATGAGTGAGGACAGACTCATAGGTGTTTCAATAATTGGAATAAAATGTCAATTTGGTGAGTAATAGCCGTATGAGTTTCTTCACATTGTGTTTACAAACTGACGTTTTGGATTCCATCAAACTTTACTTTGATACTTTGTTGTGTTTTTTTCCCTCAGATATCGACGATTGCTACGAAACAGCTTGTCTGAACGGCGGGACGTGTATTGATGGTATCAATGGATTCACATGCAGATGCCTGTTGGGATTCGAAGGAGAAAACTGCGAAACAAGTACGTCTGCGCAATCATCCTTGAGAATTCGTAATATACATGAAATTAAGACTTGTTTCAAGACATCACAAGTCATCACGTCATTCACGAGTCCACAGTAGAGCGGCAAGTTTAATATCCAAATGACTTCTGACATTAATGCATTCCTTTGTCCTTGGGACATCTCCTGTGACATGACTTGAGACTTAAATTGAGATTGACCCGATGCCGATGAAAACTCTGATATACCTTTTACTGTCTTGTTACCGTAAACTATCTACAACCTACTTATCTACTAACTCAACCTGCCTCGGAATTTAATCTCTTTCCAAAATCGAATTTACAAACAGACACTGATGACTGTGCGGGAGTAATCTGCCAGAACGGAGGTCATTGTATCGACGAAGTTGCAGGTTATCACTGTCAATGCGTCATAGGTTACACTGGAAACCACTGTGAAATCAGTGAGTATTTTTATCATCTCTATTTTCATGGATTAGTAGTAAACGAGTGACCAAAAATGCCTTATGCTCAACACAATAAGTATTCCCATATTAGACATTCAAACTATAAATTCTCACTGACCTTATATTTACGAACAGCTCCATTTAAAAATTGATCAGCGATGTAAATACATGTCGTAGCTTCATTAATAGTTACAGACATGGTGAGATAAATATACCAAGAAGAATCAAGTAATTATTGCAATAATCAATACTCACATTTCAACTTGCTCTTTGACATCGACACACGAACTTGGGTGGAGACTTCCACTGTGGAGTTTAGTGACGGCTGTTTTATGAAAGAAAACAAAATACGAGAATCTTTTATAATTTCTTTTTCCCAGATGTTAACGACTGCTCAGGTAATCCATGTGCCTTCGGTATCTGTGTGGATTTGGTCGACGACTACGAATGTGTGTGTACCCCGGGCTACGAGGGTCGCCACTGTGACATTGGTAAGTTGGTCAACTAGGAAATTGTTGAAGTAATATAGCGCCCTCTTTACAATGTCAAATTGTGTTCAGCTGAATTTCACTAAACAAGGAAATGGTCATGTTTGTATTAAAATACTGCAAAAAATAACAACTGAAATATTATGTAAAATTGCGCTTATCCTGCAGTGCCTTTTAGACATACATTTTCAGTGCTAATTATTGTTTTGTAGAGACACCAAAAGTACTAAGAAAAATCTAAGAGATATTAAAAGGAGTTCGTCAAGAGAAATCTGAGTGTCGGATTAACGTCTGAAATTAATGCATTTAATGGTTTTTTTTTTAATGATGTTTGTTCTGTTCTCGTGCAGAGATTGATGAGTGTGCCATCGAGACGCCATGTTTCAACGGAGGAGTCTGTGTGGATGAAGTCAATGGATATAGATGCGAGTGTCTGGCTGGATACGATGGGGTTCACTGTGAAAATGGTAAGAATTTGTTGCATTTGAGATGTACGATTCCTGTATATCAGTAGCACGTTTCACCTGCACTGTTGAAAAGTCAAATACTTTTATGAATGCCATAATATAAAAAAAAAATGATGAATTTTGTCCGTTGTATAAAAATGAATTCAAAAACACAATTGGCAAAACAAACCCATAATAATCGTTGGTGATGTTTTGTGCAGAATTGAGTGCCCTTACTGTGTTAGCTGTTATTTTTCACCTTTTTTCCCTCTATTTTTTTCTCTCGAGATGCTTTGGGGCATAAATGTCAGGGAAGGTTTCATGATATTATGAATAACTCAAGATAGACGATTGATCAGGCTAAACCTAACCTGTTTTTCCCTCCGTAGATATCGATGACTGTGGTCCATACGCCGTTTGTTTGCACGGAGGGAAATGCGTCGATGGAATCAATGAATACACGTGTCAATGTCTGCCTGGCTACACTGGCCGATACTGCCATATCGGTAAGCAAACCAGTCACATGTAGTTTCCACAATACTTTGTGTTGTAGATTACTGTCTACCATATATTTAATCTAACCAGTTAGCATTAAACCTTTCTCGTGTGTTTCATCTTCTCAGCATGGTAACAGTGTCAGTTGATATTTATTACATCTGTGTAATATGAGTGATATAGAATATTTATCATGATAAGCACGTCAGGTGTACATAAATCCACAAGACTTAACCTGAATTGAAACTGTTATTCACTTATTTTAGTTTTAAATTAAACTGTAATCGACTATTTGGGCTTGATAGTTATGAATAAATATAACACTCAGGGTCGAGAAGTACAAGGTAGCAGATAAAAATTGCCTTCTTTTTCCTACGGGACACTGAACCGACACCCCCCCCTCCCCAATGTCGGTCATTTTGTTTAACCTCATTTGATAACTGTGTGTTCATTCAATGCAGACGTTGACTTCTGTCAGCCTGTCAACCCGTGCTTACACGGAGGATTCTGCGTCGACGGCGCAACCGATTACACCTGCGAATGTGCTACTGGATACACTGGTCACGACTGTGAAATTAGTAAGTACAAAGTCATGTACAACATTACTTTAAGATATGTGCACCTGTTTGTGGAATTACAGCCAGGATCGTGGTATCAGGCACTGTAACTTATATAATTTGTATGCCAGTTTACTAGTTAAGCAGTTTTTTTAATTCTTACTTTCAGATTTTTGTCTAACAACTATAATGGATGCGCAAAGGTTTATCTTTCCACTGAAAAGTAGTTATGTATTAAAAAAACCTAGAGGACATTATGCCCAAGCGCCTGGTTGTGAATTACTGGTTCCCAAGTCACCTACGTAAGTCACACATATCATTGTGTTTTCCGTTTTGGAAATTAACTCAAACAATAACTATGTTTGTTTGAATTGCAATATTTTGTTTGATTGATTGCTCCTGCCATTAGACATCGATGACTGCGCACGTGATCCTTGCTATAATGGCGGCGAGTGTATTGACGGAATCAACGAATACACCTGTAACTGTCTGCCCGGGTTCCAGGGAAGCAGGTGTCAAAATGGTAAGATTATAGGGACGGACAAACAAAATCTTCTCATGAATAGATTTTCTGTTAAGCGATGGAAAGAAGCTTTCGGCTCTTTATTTCACCTGACGTTTTTGTGCTGGCATTTCCTGATAAAAACCTGTCATCAAATAATCCCACAGCCTATTCTGCTTCTCCAATCGCAAGAATTAATTGATGACGATTCCTGTGCGACAAGTATCTACAACAACAAAATATTCTTCACCGACTTACAACGAATAAATACCTTAATTATTCTTTAATATAGAGCTCATTTTCATTTTTTACAACAGAAATCGATGAATGTGCCGGCCCTACACCGAGATGTTTGAATGGCGGCGAATGCTTGGATGGGATTAATAGCTACACCTGCGTGTGCGCCGGTGGCTTCCAGGGGGCTAAATGTGCAGAAGGTATTAGATAAGAGCATTCTGATTCATCAAAAGACCGATCCATTATTAAGCTCCGCCCATTGCACACGTCACGTGGGTAACACAACGCGCGTGTCCTCCAATGGAACGCCCATAGATAATGAAGAAAAGTTTGTTCATTCCATATTTATCCGGTTCGTTAGTGTGACGTCAGTTCAGTTTAAACCACGCCCATTGACCATTAAGTATAGCATTGGAACCATTAACTGGAACCAGAAGCGTGTATGACTTTTTACTACGAACCGGATGAGGCATGGGCACACCTCACGTTAAAGACGCGCGCGTTATACGCAAATATAGCCATATTGAACGGCTATTATGATTGGTCACAACATCATTGGGCCGGGGTTAGTGATCAGTCTATTCTCGCAAAACTTTTCTAATTAACAGCTAGTCTTGATGCAAGACGTTCTCAGCGGGGTAGTTCGGGAAAGACGGTCCAGCCGTTGTACCGCACCCGCAGCAGTATGCATGTTCCCGTTCACTAACCTGACTCGGTCGTCGAACTGCAGCTTGTTTACGTGTGTGTAAAGAGCGCCCGCTTCGGTGAAATGCTGCATATTATATAGTCCAATGAACCCGGGTGCGCTGAACTACGTACCGCTAGCACTATAGGCATCTTGGAACCAAGATTACTTACAAACTTGACATAAAACAACAGCGAATTGGCTCAAGCAGATTCGAGTTGACCACAACTACAGACTGGTCATCTACAATTTCAGACTGTTCCTTTACGATGCTTATTGTTATGTGTTTCCTTCACAGAGATTCTATGCCAGGCGGGATGGGAGCGCTACGAACTCGGCTGTTACTTCTTCGAGCAAACCCACGAAAAATCATGGGATGAAGCTGAGCTGACCTGCGTGTCATATGGTGGTCACCTGACCAGTATCCATAGCGACGGCGAACGCGATTTCGTCTTTGGTAAGTTGACAGAGTGCTTGCCTGTTATATGGACGATTAAAATAAGAAATCACATTAGAGGTAGACTTGTCCAAGTCCAATCTGGTTCGTGAGTATGGCGTTACTTCAGTCTAAACCACGCCCACTGCACATTGAGTAGCATTGGAACCATTGGAACCGGTGCAAGTGGCATGTCTAGCAATGGTGGTGCGTACGCGTGTATGACGCAGTACATGTAATACGAACCGAATAGGGTTTTCAAATGACATTTTAATAACACAGTCAGCTTCAGCGCCCCTATTTAAGAACGCGTGGACATCCGCGTAAGCGAGATACCATTTCAGTAAAGTCAATTGACGGCTAAGTCATAGACACAATTATTTTTTTAAACACAATTATTTTTGTGCTGTAAGATGAATGGTCGTCCTGGTGAGACTTTTAGAAGACGCGTCGACGTCGCATTTTTCGGCGTCGCATTTTAAAGCTCTGGCAGGGATCATTTTGATCGATTTCATGCAAGACTTTCATGCAAGACTTCTTGCAACACGGCACTGGCACTTGTTTAATTATTACTCATTGATTTTATTTATTACTTTTTTTTTGCTTTCTTCCTTAGAGCGCCTGGACAGTCAGTATCAATACTGGATTGGACTCACGGATATAATTGTGGAGAATTTCTGGCTCTGGAGTGACGCTACACCAAGGGTTAGTGACTATTGAACTATGATGAGCGGGATTCGAACCACCACCCACTGAATTGCATTCCTTGTTTGGACATAACTCGAAAAGTAATTCTGTCTCCATAGGTAAATATAATACGGAGGGGCAGTGTTGCGAGATGGGAATTCAAAGGTTTCGGGAGAAAAGTTAAAATTTCGGTTCAAATTCAATTCAGATAATCTGAATTCGAAACCGGCAACCCACTCTTATCAGCCTAATAATATACCAGAAATACTCTATGAATCAAATGCAAATTACCAATAAATGTTATGGAGTTTGATTTATTTTGACAGGATTACAGTCAATGGTTTTCTGGTGAGCCCAACAACCTTGGTAACGAAGACTGTGCAGAGATGCATCCTTTCAGGTTTGGCAACAGGTGGAATGATGCTAAATGCTATCTGACAAACCGCTACGTATGCAGGACTAGAAGAGGTATGCTAATCTAACAAAATAAAAAACAATTTTTGGGAAAAACAAGGTAGATTCTACCTTTACTTGTGTGTTTTAAAATGCTTGGAAGCCAGTGAATCTGCTCGAAATGTTGTCTGCTGTTATTTCAATACTATGTTGATTCGGATAATTTTGAGTCTTAAATTGTTAAAAGGTATTAAATAGAAAGAAGTCGTGATCTTTGCAAAATGAGCTGACGAAAACGTATAGCAATATTGATGGATGCCCTAAGATCTTTCAATCTAAGTGAAGCAAAACAAAACATGGTGAATCCTAGGGCCCATGTTAGGTCAAAGGTGAACAAGCTGGTTCTTTTAACTGAATTTAAAACGCAATGATGGGAAATGAATTGACGAAATAACTTTCAATTTATCGCATTTGTGTACAGAAACAAAATTATTTTAAGGTTTGGTGCCTGTCAAAATGTTCTTCACTTATAGGTGCGTGTGCAATTTCAAAAATATGTCAACATGATAGTAGATGTTCCTTTTGTTTCTAGTCATTAAGTGTCATTTTGTGTCAACGAGCATCAGTTAGCAAAATGTTCAACAAAGTCCAGAAATGTAATGTTTGTTTTCTGAATACTGTTTCTTTGTTACATATTCATGATTTGTTTGTTAGATGTAGACTTCTGTGCTTCGGCCCTCGAGCAATGCTACAACGGTGGAGTCTGCTCAGATTTAGCTCAAGGCTTCTCCTGCGCATGCGCAGCCGGATTCTCTGGTGATAGATGCCAAATAAGTACGTGAATACACTTTACAAAATGTTGATTACATTTTCAATTAAAACTATATCACCTTAACTGTATCTAAGCTGGAATGTAATAACTCGATATATTATTTTCTCACAGATAACAACGAATGTGACCCAAATCCATGTCAGAACGGAGGGGCTTGCAATGATCTGGTGAATGGTTACACCTGTGACTGCGCTCCTGGATATATCGGAGTTAACTGTGAAACAGGTATGCTGCCAAAAGGTCAACTGAATACCCGGGAAATATACTTAAAAATACACTTGCGAAAAGAAATTATTGGAATATTAATGATTTGTTTTTAAACAGACGAAGATGACTGCGCGTTAGCTGCTTGTTTGAATGGAGGAGTGTGCACCGATTTAGTTAATGGGTACTCCTGCGCATGCTCAGACCGCTACAAAGGAGATCGATGTGAAACAGGTAACTTTCCAGCTTTCCTGTAGAGATGTAGAAAGATTGCTGAAAATATAAATGAAGGTGATATGTTCAACCTAAAGTTTGTTTATACGCCTACTTCATGCAGAAGGGTCACCCAATATTCTCTTTTATTATTGACACTTTCTTGTGGTCTGATTTCCTTGCAGACAAATGCGCGGGAGATGAATTCTTTGTTGACTCTTGTTATGAGTTCATTTCGACAAGTCGTACATGGGTGGATGCTGAAGCTGACTGTGTAGGGAGAGGAGGACATCTTGCAAGTGTCGCGAGTGCAGAAGAGCAGAATTTCTTGCAAGGTTGGTACCCGCAGATACCATAACATACTGAGAAAATGATGATTTCACTGGTACCAGACGGCCAGTCTGATGTTCTCTTTGTACATAGTTTATCTCACTGACTGAGTGTCACATGCAACTGGTTACCTACGTAGGTGGTCAAAAACAAAAGGAATGGCATCCTTCTACTACCCTGGGACTCAAACCACATACCAATGCATGGTGAATCTTCTTAGAAGAAAAATGAAACCGACCTCGCCCAATTCGGTCCAGTTGTTTTTGTTCTAGGGCCTATTTTGTGAAGTAAGGTGGGGTAATTTTTGTCCCGATGAATAATACTAAACCGCGCCTGGGAACTTGACTTGCATTGTATTTGATAGAGGGACTGTTATGTAATACATGTAATACCAACCTGAAAGAAGTGTGCTTCACAAAATAGAGACTGAATCAGGATATTATGGTATTAATTCTCCTGAACGTATTCTCCATCAATTGGTGCAGGTAGTTTGAGTCCCAAGGTAATGAAGTATGCCGTTCCGTGTTTTTTGATGATCCTGCATAAAGGCTGTATAATCTCACCGATAAATGTCGCTTATGATTGATGCTATTTCTTTTTGAAAATTCCAGCGCACGTCGACGGAAATGTTTTCTGGTGGATTGGTCTGAATGACAGAAGCAGTGAAGGGAATTTCGTCTGGAGCGACGGGACAAGCGTCGTAAGAATTCGTTAATCGCGTGTTTTCGGGGGTTTATTGCATTTTGTTTTGTTTCTTAAAGGGAAGATACAGCATTCGCAAACATCAAAATTATCACGAAATAATTATCAAATTATCACAAAATACCCTACTGGATTGTTAGGGAATGACAGTCTAAAGCATCCTGTTTAAATCGTGGCTCCTGGTAAGTTGCTGACATTTTCAAGAAAAATGTGTTTGTCCAACGCTGGTCGGCCGACCAGCGTTGGAATTGTTTTCTTCAAAAATGCTCCTTAATGTTCATATTTAGTTATTCCGCACTTTCTTTGCAATTCATTACACACCTGTAAATGGGTACAAGCCCTACTAGACTGATTCTCTGACCTTACAATTTCCCAAAGTCTATAAACTGCTCCGTTTCATCTTTAGTGGGGTCAGGGAACCTAACTACGAGAACACGATTTGTTTTCTTGGTTTTTTTTCAGCATCTACCGGCCCAAAATGGGAAACAAGTCAGATTAACAATTTTTGCTATAATATACCAAACATTCGGAATCCATTTATTTCTGAAAATTGCAGCAAAAGCAAATGCTGTGCATTCCCTTTAATTCTTTTTAACGGGCAAGAGTCGCTAAGCGTAGATCATGAATCACGAGTTAATAAAAGACAAAAACTGAAAACGGAATAATTAAACAAAAACGTTTATTAAATGAAAGTTGACATTACAAAGAGGCGCATCTCTTAAATACAAATTGCTCTTTCAAAACAAAATCAGCAATCACAGCACATTTTGCTTGATTTTATCCACAGGTGTACACAAACTGGCAACCCAACCAGCCCGATGATTTCCAGGGTATTGAGGATTGTGTACATTTTCATACGGCACAGTACGGCTACCAATGGAACGACTTGCGATGCACGGATTCGCTCCATTACATTTGTGAGAGACCAAGCGAAGGTGTGTATATGAATGATGACGCACTGACTGTTGAATCAATCATTATCCAATCTGATGAGATGTGGTTATTTTCATGTTAACTTGGACATTTTACGTAGTTATTGATTGAACTGATTAGAATCAGTAGAATCGTTAAGATGACTTCATTGGGTTGTAAATTATTAATTTCTGAAGCTTTATATGTATCGGAAACGGTTAAAACAACAAAAACAAGTCCTCTTGAAAGAATTGAGAATTTCTTCCATTTTTGTATCTGTCTGTTACATGTAGACCACTGTGCTTTGGTTGTCGAGCCATGCTACAACGGTGGAGTATGCACAAATTCAGCTCAAGGCTTCTCTTGCGCATGCGCCGCCGGATTCTCTGGTGAAAGATGTCTAACAGGTGCGTGAATTCATTAAAAAGAAATTAACTCAACAGTGCTTCAAGTAATTCCAAAATTGATTCACAGATATTACTAAAGTTCACGGACATTACTACTAAGTTAATTTTTTTTTAATCTTATCTTATCATGATTTGAACTTTGATTGTATTATTGAAACCTTCTGATGTAATCCTCCCCAGGGTGACGAGGTATGTTCCTTAATTTGTGGAATAAAACAAGAAACAAAACTTTAATTCGCCTACAGGTCGATGTAAAGCTCAATTAAAATAATGATCACGTTTTATGTTTCTTATTCGATTTCATTGTTTTTATCCTGTGACATTTTGATAGATATTGACGAATGTTCAACGAATCCGTGCCAGAATGGAGGAATTTGCGAGGACCGAGTCAACGGTTATGTGTGTTTCTGCATATCTGGATTCATTGGCGACAACTGCGAAACAAGTACATTTTCATTAAACATGTCAATTACTAAAGTTTCCAATAATTTCGTCGGTCTGTTTAATTACCTTTTCAGTCACTATCGTCTAGTTACAAAAATTGTCTCGAGTAATTATAATTAATGTAATACGAAATGAATCGTGATGAAAGGTCGAGACAGACGTACGGCTTTCAGCTTATAAACCTTAGTTCATTGTAGTTGAAATCCCCGTCTTTGATGTAAGTTGACCATCTGCTTTTGCAGATGAGGACGATTGCGCATTGACCCCTGAACCTTGCTTCAATGGAGGAGTCTGCTCTGATGGGGTGCATGGGTTCTTCTGCGCATGCTCTGATCGATACACAGGGGACAGGTGCGAAATTGGTAGGTATTTGGTTATATTTATCAATTTTACTTGCATTTTGCAAATACGGGGCCTCCTATTTTTGGCGCGAATAATCAGCGTTGTCACAGCACATAATTGAGAACCATAAATGAAATGATATATTGTACACAATGTCCTCTAAACCCCCGTAGTATTGGCAGAGTGAGGTGAACAGACCTAATCAGCATTCTGTTCAAAAGATGGAATTTGCGTCGGATGATTTAAATTCTATTTTGGGTTTGGGCTCTTCACCACGTAAGTGCTCACTGTATATGCTCAGCATTGCTCCGAGTGATTATGAGGGGAAAAATGGGAATGTGATCAAGAGATATTTTAGAATGCCAAAGATAATTTCCATGTTCTGTTTTACTTTTTCCAGATAGGTGCCCTGATTGGGAATATTTCCAGGAAGCCTGCTACAGGTTCTTCAAGACGCCTACAATGAGTTGGTTGGATGCTGAAGCTGACTGTGTCTCAAGGGGTGGACATTTGATAAGCGTTGCCAACGCCCAAGAGCAGACGTTCCTACAAGGTAAAGCCTTATATAATGACTTGGGCTACTGTCCAAGTCTTCGACGATTACAACTTCTTCAATATGCTAACAGTTAACCGATTCGTTAGGCCCCGCCCCTTGCGCACCACGAGGGCAACAACAGTAACACGTGCGTCTCTCCAATGCCACATCACACTGCACGTTCAAGCCGCGCGCGTCATGCGCGCACGCGCATGTTGGACTTTGTAGCACCGATGTCGGACATTCATCATGGCTGTGATTGGTCAAAATACTATGGGGCGGGGCTTAATGTATCGATGTGTTGCCCTAGGTCTAGAACCCATTGATTTAATGAACCGCAGATTGATTCATCTAGGATTTATTCTTAAAGCCACGTGGGCTGTTTTGGGGCCGAACTTTGGTTAAAGAGACACCAGATTCGTGAGACTAATAATCAACGTTTAACCCCGTGTTCTTCTTTCGACACCACGTGCCTACAAAATACAATAACAAATGAATTCAAAAGTTCACGGATAATGTTGCGTAAGAGACCAGATTTAAAAAAAAAAAATTGGAAAGAGAAAACAAACAATAATTTAATTTGTACGCCAATAAAAAGCTATGTTGGTGATTAACTTCTTTTTGACAAATTTGACGCTTTAAGGGCCTTTTTATAAGAAAGGTTTTCTAAAGCCTTAAACTTTGTACAGTAGTTAGTGTAAAAACTAACAAATACTTGAATCTGTCATAGCTATTGCCATGGAGTGTTCGAACCATTATTGCGAACAGTTTCATTTGTGTTTTCTTATTGCAGATAATCTTGATAACGATAGTTGGTGGATCGGACTGAACGACAGAAACATAGAGAGAACCTTCGTCTGGAGTGACGGAACAAACTCTGTAAGAACGTGCTTGGCCGAGACTTACTCACATGATCAAGCTTGTAAAGACCAATAAAACACAACAAGAAAATGCGATTTTATTAAAAGGCTACTCTTGATACCAGAAATTGAATCGAGAATGTCACAAAATGGAAAGAAGCGGAATAGAGTAAGACAGATTTTTAATTGGAATATTGCTGTGCGAATCGCAGTTTGAATACCGAACTCTATATTATTATCCCTTTGAAGCAAAATCTTTTCATTTATAAGAAGTAATTTCAGCTAAGGTGGTTTTGTGTGTATATTTCCCCCACCAGGCGTACAGAAATTGGTACATTAATGAACCTAACGATCTGAATGGCGAGGATTGTGTGCACATGGAGAAGCAGCGGTTCAACAACCAATGGAACGACTTACCTTGTGAAGGGTTAGCCAGTTATGTCTGCGAGAGACCTCCGCAAGGTATGTAGTAGGGAGACGGTTTCAGGAGACTGAAGAGTTGTGCTTGATGGCGTGAAGCAATTTTGACATGAGGTGCTAGAAGATTGATGCTGATATTTGTCATAATACCAAATATCATATCTTGAACAAAAACGAAGAGAAAATCCAATGAATCCGAATACTTTCCTTAATGACGTTTAGTATGCATCATTAATACAAGGACTCAAACGTGACAATGATAAATCAGTTCTTATAACAGCGCATTAAACAACAGTTGTTATCATTCATGATTTATAACAAATTAATGATGACTCTAGATAAAGCAGATTTATTGCCACAAGAAAATCAACCTCACTTTTGGACCATTCAAATCCAAAGCTACAGGTGGTGCGTGATTTAAATCTACTATGAAGGCCTTTAATAAAAACATTCATTTTTTTTGTTAATCACAGGCTAACCGCGGCGGATCGCAGCATGCAGCTAAGGACCGGGAGTACACCTTTATTTGAGATAGGTTCTATGGACGACGATGATCAGTTTACGCTGCTCTTAACTATTCAATTATGATGATTTTATGCTTACCATCCATTATCTTTTACTAAAAGAAATATTGTGCCCGATCTGACTTTTTTCTTGGAATATTGCTTGCTATTTTGTCTTTTAATGTGCTTAGTCGTTCATAACATATTTCTTCCAAATATTTTGAATGAATCGAGTGGTGTTATATTTCAGCGACATTGGAACCTTATAGGAAATATCAAATATAAGATAAATATTTAGAATGCTGATATTATAGCTTGAACACCTTTTCAATTTTGAAGTGTTATTTCGAAGAAGTAAAAAGTATACTTAAGAGCTCAACATTTATTATTTAAATTTAAATTTTTGACGACGGGCAGAGCATACTGTCCGAAACGTTGAGTTCCCTCTGGCTCTTCTCAGAACCACACATGCAAAGGAGATTTGGCAAGACATGGTGCTACGGTAATCTTATTTGTTCCCTTTCACCCATTCAAACCTTCAAATCTTGTTTCTTTTCTTATTTATGTCCTTCCACATTTAAAGAAAACTGCTTAAAATTGATTACATTTGTTTTGAGTTAATGTTTGTTTATTCAATTATACTCACTTTATCAAATACTTAATTAGTTTTTCAATTGTTAATGTAAGAATGTGTTCTGGTTAAGGGAATGTCGGATCAAAGAAATGCACATTTTAAATTCGAGGTGTTGCTCTTGGCCGACGTAATTTTCAAAGCAGTTTTCATTCAGAGCTCTCCGAAAGCTTGTGAGGGACAAATTAGTCGGTAGAGGGCATGCTATAATATTTAAAAGTTTAATCGATAAACAAAACCTTTCAAGATCATTAAAAGACGAATCAAGGATATTCAAGCAAATTTAAAGTCCTTGTGTATTTAATTTGTCTAACCTGTTACATGTTGAAGTTCCAAAATAAAAGAATTAGTTCGTCACACACGGCAGCAAGAATAAAATAAATGGGAAGAATAAAACAGCAAGCCAAAAAAGGAGAGGGATATATTGAACAACCAGCAATTAACAAGGCAGGGAAGCAAGGATTTTAAGCAAATAAATTACTGTGCACGAATTCTAATAATGGTCCAAAGTCAACACACATCAGAGCGAGAGTAATTACCAAGTAAATGAATTTAAAATACAAATTTATACAATCATAACTTCAGAAATTGGCCAATGCTGACGTAAATCAGCAAAACATTCCCGGTGAACTCAGGAGAACACAGGAAGCCGAGTGCGAATTATTTTTTCCCCAAACAACATCCGCATTACATGGGTGTTGAGCGCTCTCTACGATACATTTACGATATGTAGGCCTGTACAACTATATTACCACGAATTTGTAGTATTTGTCGAGCAGATCGACAGCTCAGTTGAATGGGATCGTGATTTTGTATCGCGAGGGATCCTCGTGGTATATGGCTTCGAATCACCAACTTTACCCACATTTTTTTTCTTTTCTAATCTGAGGCTTCGGAGAAAATAAGGTGCGAATTTTATTAGGATCGAATTCTTTTTTTTCTAATTATGTATGTTCCTCATGTTTTAAAGAGAGGTTAAGTCCAAACCGTCATAGCAAACACCCAATGTGGATATCGTTTGGGAAAAACATTGCGCCCGGGCGAGCCCCGTTACAACCCAATACACACGTCATCGCTATAAAGGTGAGCTGTATAGGGTCACAAGTTCAAAATACACAAAGTCCACGCAACCACGCCGAATGAAGGCATTGAACCCTGAACACTGTTGTACTAGCTCATGCAAAGGCATCGACCATTTTGTAATGTAACGCAAGCGAAGTAGCCATGCCCATTTTTCAATACTCTACGTTTCTCTTCGTTCTGCTCGGATTTAGTCTTCAAGTGAATGCCTTAGAACTTGCCAAACGAGCGGTGGATGACGAGGTGAGTCTGTTAGGATTCTGTCTACGGCTACTTCGCCCAACTTTACTGGAAGTTAAAAAACTTTTTCACCCCAGGGATTACGCATCGTCGTGCATGCCCTACGTTATGGCGAAACATGTACATGTAGGCCCTATGTATTCACTCTGTACACGGTTTTTCGAGTATTATGAAAGTGGGTATTTTTTTTCTCGTTTGTTCGTCTATTGTTCAGTATTCACAGTAGTTCTGATTCTGAATCCAGACATCAACAAAAATCTATTGATAGCCAAACACGTTACGGATTCTAATTTTGAAGGGAAAAAAAACCAACCCTCAAACAAATACAAAACTAATGAGCTTCATCCTCAGCCGTAATACATGTACATGCAACCTACTGATGTTTTCTTCACGTTAAAATTATATTTCGAAGATGCCAATTTTAGGCTGAGGTTTATAAAGATATTTTTAAGTAGTAAAAGCGTGACTGGCCTTTGATTCACTGTCACACGAACCAGTCTCAAGGTCTTGTTATATCGAATGAAGTGCGGGTAAATGCCTGCACATAAGTGACGTCATCATGAAAATATAATCCATTGTCGAAACTTCTTTCATGGTTCAAAAATCCATTAAAGTGTTAGGCATTGATAACACATATTCGGTGATAACTGACAAATCTTGAATATATTAGGGAATACACCTATTACAATTTCTTTTAAAATTGTCCCCAATTAACAACTTGAACACTACTTTCATAACAGGGCCCATGCTCGGATTAATTAAATTTCATAAAGCAAATTAGTCTTATGTCTTAATGGAGAGGACAGCTTTACTCTAACGTTTGATGCCGTTATTTCACAGCCACAACCTTACTGCATATTGGGTTCAGACGAAGAAGGTGTGTCAAAGTTTCCTCTAGGAGGCCAAGAATATCTTATATGCAGCAGAGGCAGATTCTTCAACTTTGAGATTGATCCAAATACTTTGTAAGCACATGTATTTATATTCGCAGGTCTTATGATCCAGTGCGGACATTACATGTACATGTATAGGCCTGTCCCTAGCCACCCTATATTTAAGTGTTTATTTTTTTTGTTTATTGTTAAGTAATGAAGGTTTGCGGAAACACCATGTGCGAATAATTTCTCAACTAAGAGAATGGTTCTGAAAAGAACCAGAGGTATAAACTCGACGTTCCGGTCAGTATGCTCTGACCGTCTTCAGGAGAGTGCCTAAACTCTAAGAAAGTGAATACTTAAGTAGCCAAGGGCGAAATCAATGATTTGTTTATTGTTATGTATTTCTTATTTCAAGCGTCTTAGCAGATACAAATTAATTGTAAAATGTGCATGGTTGAATGAGATGGCATTGTAAAGAAATCACATTAGTTCAATTATTATAGTAAATATTATAAATCATTCTGCCGTTTTGTTTTTGCAATTCAAATCCCGTCTTTGTTTCTAGTAGTATGTTTTTGTGCGCACATAAACGTTCATTTCTCACTTTTATTTCCCATCTATTGTATCATTATTCTTTTGCACGCTCATGTTCATTACTTGACTCTTGTGTCGACGTAAAACCAGCACAATTTCAAGTATCATACTCTCAACTTCACACAGGGGTCCGATAGGATGCACGATATGTCCTCAACACACCCATTACATGGACAGCAGAAACTTCTGCCCACAATGTAAACAGTGCACAGTCTGCGGTGACAATGAAGTGGAGGTAATCGTACCATTCTCGTTATCAAATTATAACATTCTGCTTCATAACTGTACAAAGGCAGTTATGATACGAAGGCCTGATAGTGCCATTGAAAGTATACATTGTATTCATGAAAGTGTGATTTCCCACCTTGTTTTTTGGCAGTATATTTTTTTCAAAACTCTTTTTTTTTTTGGCAGTAATAGTTTGCTAATATGGCTTTTTTGACAGATAGTTTTTGGCAAATCTTGTTTTTGGACATACCTTGCTTTTTGTGTGTATATTTGCAAACCTTGTGTTTTGGAAGTGCGTCATTTTATAAATAAGGGGTCCGATAGGGAATATTGTCTTTTTTGTTTAATTTAATTAAATAGAAAATGTATTAAAATTAATGACACTTTATGTGTAACAAACTCCAATATAACATTGATAAAACCAACATATTTGTTATCTTGATCCGAAAATTCTCATTTTTTTCCAAAAAAATGGGACAAAAAGTACAGTTTCAAAATATTAACATTTTTTCAAAACACAAAGTTTGCCAAAAATGTACTTAAAAAACAACAACAATGTTTGCAAAACACATACTTGCATACTTTCAATGGCACTAACGGGCCTTCGTAGTATCTTAATGGCTTTCTGCCAAATTATCCATGAATATCGATCCTTGGTGTTATATGCTCTAGACCATGTTACACTTGTTTCCAAAATTCGATGTTTTTTTGTGGTCACGTGATGCCATCTCACAGCAAACGGTTCTCTTCTGTACTGCATGTATATATCTCTTGAAATATGAGTGTCGACACAATACTGATTAAGTAATGTGGGCCAAGTAACACGCAAAGGATGCTTTGAATGTTGGGTATGCCCGGTGGTTGTCTGTCGGCATGACGTCACAGGGCGCATGGTTCATACGGTTCTTGATGTGCATTTCCCCCCTTCTATTCAATAGATCCAACCCTGTATCCCATATCGCAACAGAATTTGTGAGCCAACAATCATCGCTCCATCCAACGTGACAGTTGGAAACCAATACTATTTAACTACCCTGGATTCGACAACTGGTAATGTTTTTATTTTCAATTCTTGTGTTTAATGAATAGGTTTTGGATGATATCATTACTACTCTTATTTATTTTATAATATTTTCCATTTGTTATGTATCAATCTAGACGCATTCCCAACACTAACATCAGCACAATTGCCAACCTGTCCACCGTGTGTGTCATGTGCACCAGACCTAGCCGATCCGTCCACACTGACATCGATAACACGAAAAGCGGGTGACTCGACCAAACAAAATGAAGGGGTAGACCTAAATGGTAAGTTCCCGATATACCTGCTTACGTTGCTGAGAGTCTGTTCAGCTGCTAACTTAATGAACGTTTGTCACCCTGCTTTTTGATAGGCCTATAGGTGTATATACTTTAAAACAGATTGGTTAAAATAACCAATATTGGTTAAAATGTGTATAACCAACCAGATTGGTTGGACACATATTAAACAATTGTTGGTTATTTTAACCAATGTTTGGTTATGTTAACCAAACTGTTTTATGTACGTTACGTTCATATCACCTATTCGATAATAGTGCAAACAATCTTGAAAAAAAAATGATTTCGAGTTATCCTTTGTTTTTTTGCAGTTGTGTTTCTTGCGATAAATTTTACAGTACTTGCTGCAATTGTAGTGCTTCTTGTGTGGACGTAAGTCAGATATAATTATTGTAAATTGTGTTATTCATTGATATCAGAGTTTGTTTTATTTGTTAGGTCCAGAGAGCCAACCTTGTGTCCTTTTGAACCTATCTGACTGACTCTCATTTGAGACTTAGACTAGTTTTAGATTGGCACAGACAGCCGGGAAGTGCAATCGTATATGATTACCTAGTAACGTCAGTGAATGAGCAAGTTCACTGTGAAGACCACCTGCATGCAAGATCTTTTATATGTTCATCAGCTTCTTTAAATTTATTGTCATCGTTTATTCCGCGATATGATGCTTAAGTAGGTTAACTTGAAGAAGAACTATGATTTCCTTTTTACAGAGGTTAATCTGTTGATTCGTTATGTTTTTTTTAGATGGAGAAATCTGCGGAAAGGAACTATTCCCGACCGAAGCAATGAGAATGAATACAGAAGTGTGCAATCAGGTCAGACGTTTTAGGTCATTACATGTTATTCTACATATTTTAAAGTTTTGCTGAAGATATTTTTATAGCATAATTAATGTTTTAGACATCATTCTCACAACCACTGCACAATTGATAGTAATTTTGCTATCGTCATACATTCAAGTAAAATTCAAACAAAAATAAATCATTCAGCTATAATCTGAAAAGGATTTTTCATAAAGCTGACTGACAGTATTTCTTTGAAATGATTTCTCACTCTTAATTTACTCAATTTGTTTATATGCAGAAGAAACAAGGGAGACCCCTGTTTGAGCAGTGGCATTATGGATCTGAAGAAAAGCTTCAAGAAGTATCAGCCATCATATTACATTTAGATTTAAAGAGAGTTTAAGAAAGGTTTATGCAATACACACCTATATACATGTTCTTTTTTTCTTCTCACTTTTTAGGGCTTTTAGTTTTGTGTTTGTTGTCCACACATTTTAAAACAAATCACTCGTTAGGCACAAACAGTAAATAAAACATTAATCTATAAACTTTTTTTCGCTTAAACTGAGGCTGAATAATTTCATCATTATGAAACTGTAGCAGGGTTTAAAAAAATATGCTATCATGCACGATTGAAAACTGCAAGGGGGAAGATTATTTACACTATGTATATGCCTTTTTCAAAGTGCCTTTGGAAAAGTTTCTTGCTCAAAAACACTTCTTTGATTATAAGAAAAAACATGTTTCGGGAAACATAATGCCTTCTTTAAGTGTGTGGTTTGGCATGCACAGAATCTAATCACATAAGTTGCATTCTGTTCATTTGTCAAATGTGTGTTTTTTTACTATATTTTATATCTTATTTATACTATTGGACTTTCCACTGTTGCAATTTGTGAAAAACCAGCAGATAGGCGGTACAATAGAAACGCACCACAACTATAATGACATGGTGCATTAAAACAATTAATCGTTTTCTTCTCTATCAGACAAAGCTTGAATCACAATGTTAAAGAATGTAAAGCAATCATTAAATCGTTTCTTTTTCACGTGGATTCATTTGAGTTTGCATTTTGTACATTTTGTTCCTGTCTCCATTAAAGTGACACTATCCAGTTATCTGTTATGAGCTTCTCTGTAAGTTTTATAAACAAACTAACAACCATGAATCTTTTTGAGATTGAATTACTAAATTTTGTTAAATTCAACAAAGGATGTGCAATTCCAATTTGAAGTGCACTACTCGTGGGACAAATCCCATTCAATCATCCGTTGAACAATAAAGTCGTGTATTTGTTTCTTTACCAAAACCCCAGGCATGCGTGACAACCCTGACAATGGCATACCCTGGATTACCCCATACCTGCTACATATCTGCCAGCTCTATCCATTGTTGCGCTTTACTCGGTACAAGAATATACCCCACAACCTAATTTGGTTTTCCAGACTTGATGTGTACAGACCAGAAACCAAGAAAAAAATATCAGCGGACAAAAGATGAGGGGTCAATGCATGCATGTGGAAAAGTTTTCTGTAGGGTTGCAGTCGGGTATAAGTACGTGGCATTGCAATTTGCTGATAAATATTGATAATAATCTTATTAAATATTGGCCTAACAGTTAGTTTTTATGATATTCAAAAGTAAATTTGGAAATGCATGTTGATGTGAATATACAAAGAATGAGCTTGGCATGACGCAAATAAATACTTCGTTCCTCACTTTTTTGTTTAATGCAAGTTACCCATGAACGATCGAAACTCATATATGTTTTTTCCGAGTTCGTATGCTGTGCATTAGGCCCCCCCCCCCAAAAAAAAAACAATATTTGGTCTCTGGTCAGACCAAAGTTCCGGAATTGACGCGGGGACGCGGCTTTTTTATTTTTTCTTTTCTTTTCAAGCTTGGATTGTACGGACAAGGTGGGGTACTATTTTGCTTTTTTGGTGTCCTCGTGTACATTGGTGTCCTCCATAATTTGCCTTGGTGCTCTCGATCATTTGCCTTGGTGCAATTTCCCATTCCTTAGTGCTCTTTGGTAACAAAAAAAAATGAGGAGGTGCGGCAATAGAGGGCGCTGTTGGAGCTACCGCGGAACATTTTGGAAAAAACATATTGACGCGCATGATTAAAATCGACGCGCGCGCTGACCAGAGACCGACTTATTATTTGTTTGGCCTTATGTAGGCTTATTGAGAACGATTCACGATCTTGCTACTTTTCCCTCGTTGAAATTGATATTTAAATAACTTATGAATTCCAGGGGATCTATTTCTAATCAAGTAAAACCATTGTCGGCAAACAACTTTACACGAGTGACGTTTCAGTCAATTTCCTTTTGCAACACGTAATGATTGAAAATTTCAAAAGTACCTTAACGCTGACCGCATTGTCTTTAGGCCAAATATGTTGTTATTTTTTTCAGTAAAAGAGAAGTCAAACTGTAAATGATCATTTCCTTATTTTGTTTCGTTTTTTTAGCATCACGTGTACCATATTGGTTCAATTGACGATTTTTATGTCACCATAAAAACTGACGATACGCCTAAAACCACTAAATCCGCACCCGCCGAATCGCCAAAATTTATCAATGAATGACAAAACATAACAAAAACAATAACAAATCATGACAGCTTACACAATACACACGACATCACATCACACCATATTTATAAAGGTGCGCAGGTAGATGAATAGGGTCACAGTTCAAGTTCAGTGCACACAGTGTTTGCCAAATAGTCTGAGTACACCTTGCTGACTGCATGGCCCACATCGGCCATTTTGATTCGCAACTTACTAGCAGCCATGCCCCGTTTTCAATACTCTCTGTTTTGTTTGGTTCTACTTGGATTTATTCTTCACGCAAATGCCTTAAAACTAGCCGAAAGAGCCGCGGATGACGAGGTGAGTCTGCTAGGATTCCTTTTACAGTTATTTCACCCAACTTAGTGAAGTTTTAACAAAAGTTTCTCACAACAGTGAATACGCATTGCTGTGCATTACGTTTGATATATGACGAAACGTGTATCGAGGGTATGAAAGGCGACCGCTCTATGTTCCGACACACCCCTATGTTCCGACATCCCTATGTTCCGACAACCTGCACATAAGATTGTGTTATACTGCCGTTTAGGGTTAAAAGGTTAGGGTTAGGGTTAGGGATATGAGCAGTCGGAACATAAGGGTGTCGGAACATATGTCCATATATGTGTAACCTTATGAAAATGTTTATTTTTCTCGTTTCCTCGTCTGTTGTGGTGATTTTACTTTAATTGTGATTCTGAATCCAAAAAAGGAACAAAAAATCCAATGAAAGCTAACGATTTAACAAATTGCAATTTTATTGTTTACGTCGTGTTTCGTGATCAAAATGTTGTGCTCAAAATGTTTCGTGATCAAAATTCACTAGGTTGAAACTTCTACCAAATAAGTTTTGATCATTCTTCTTTGGATTTTGAGTGGTGTTATTATGGGAAACGAACAAAATGCACGATAAGTAAATAACCAAATATGCCTTTGATAAGAGCGGGTAAAATACCTGCACATGAGTGGCATCATCATGAAATACCATCCATTCAGAATATTGTAGTCAAAACTATTTTCGTTTTTGTCTTGAGTACAAAGTCCGTCAGAGTGGTATAATAGTGATAAACGTGAGGCGCGTGCTGGAATTTTATTTTACAACTGACGACGCATATTGCATACAGTACTGACAAATTTGGACTATATGAGGGGATGCGCCGTCAATGCAAATTTCTTAGAAATTTGTCAATGATCAACGTCCTGGATTTTACTTCATGGGGGCCATGGTCAAATATCGCTGGTAATGTGACGATTTCAGTAGATTTCATATAGCAAATTAGGCATGTCTGTTATGGAAGGGACAGCCTTACACTCTCACATTTGATGCTGTTTTTCCACAGCCTCATCCTTACTGCATATTGGGGCCAGACCAAGAAGGTGTGTCAAAGTTTCAACTAGGACCAGGAGGCACCGAATATCGTATATGTCGGAGAGGCCACTTCTTTAACTTTAATCCAGGACCTTTGTAAGTATATGTATTGGTTTATATTCCTTGAATCAGTAGGCAAATGGATTACAGTCAACCTATCAAATTATTTTTTTTGGGGGGGGGATCCAGTGACAATTGCTTTTGTGTGTCTGTTATTTCAAACTTCTTATCAGACAAAATTTAATTGTATCACGTGCATGGTTGAATGACTTGACAATGTACAAAAAAAATAGTCTAAAAGTATGTTTCTATAGGGCCTAAGTACATGTGTACTACGTGCTTATTTGTTGTCAGACACGCCTTAATATGGTTTACGAATTTTCACTTTTATATTATGAAAATCAATCCCCACTTTTGAAATTCCAATTCCGTAAGTGTTTCTTACTTTAAAAAGGGGTTACTTTCTTCTTTTATGTTTTAAATAATTTGTATCACGATTGTTCTGCATGTTCATGTTGTTTATTTCTTGACGCTGGTTTTAACGTACAAACCGCACAATTTGAAGTACATGTATTCAACTCCAAACTTCATACAGGGGACCAATAGGATGCACGACATGTCCACGAAACACCCATTACATGGACAGCAGGAACTACTGCCCACAATGCAAACAGTGCACAGTCTGCGGTGACAATGAAAAGGAGGTAATCGTACCATTCTCGTTATAAAGGTCATGACATTCTGCTTCATTACTGTACAAACACAATTACATACGGTATTTTGATGACTTTTTGGCACATTATCCTGGGATATGTAATTTCCCTGATGTGACCGTGGAGTTTTATGCTTACAGACCATGTTACATTTACAAAATAGGGTGTTGTGGTCATGTGATACTATCTCTCACATACGGTTCTCTTCTGCACTGTATGTATATCGCTTGAAATGTGAATGGTTTAACAGTGTTGACATAAGTAACAAGCGTAAGATGCTTTAAATGTTGGGGTTGCCCGGTAGTTGTCTGTCGGCATGACGTCACAGAGCACATGCTTCATACTGTTCTTGATGTGCATTTGTTTTGGTTCTATTCCATAGATCGTATCCTGTACCCCATATCGCAACAGAATTTGTGAGCCAACGATCATCATTCCATCCAACGTTACAGTTGAAAATCAATATGATTTTACAACCATGGATTCGACAACTGGTAATTATATTTCATTTCTGTTGTACAGTAAGTTATACATTAATTTTTTTCTACATGAATGTTAGCACTCCTCATGTTTAGAAAAATTAAGATGACTGTGTGATGCCATGGTGACGATGGTGGTGATAGGGTGGGAGTGGTTCTGTTGACGATGTAATCGATTTTCACAATGATTACAACGCTGCTGATGATTACACAGAAATTAGATGACAATGATTATTAAAATGTTAATATTCTGACATCAGTGATTTGATTCAGAGTTAGATAAATTAATAATGAACAGTAAACTAAACAATATTGTTTTGGTCTCTTGTATGTACCAGCACTGGCAGATGCTACATTAACATCTACAACACCGCCAACTTGCCCTCCATGTGTTTCACGAGCACCAACCAACAATTCTTCTTCAACAACATCGGTAACAAGAAAAGAGGATGAATTGACACAACAAAACCAGTGTATAGACCAAAATAGTAGGTTCATTACTATTGTAAATTTTGCTTCTAGATTGCTCTTTGCTATTTGAGAATCATATTTCGACAATTGTGTTTATAGAAGAATACCATTATAGAGGTGTCAATATTACGATTCCTTTGAATCACATTTTTGATTTGTCCTGGGTTGCAAACCAACTAGGTTGCAAACCAAAACGAAACTTATCTCGATATATTTTGTGTTTCTTGCAGTTGTGATAGTGTCCACATTTTGTGGTGTATTTGGACTAATTGCAGTGATTGAGTTTGTGTTGATTCTATACTGCAAGTAAGTCACATTATTTTAATGTTTTCTTCAGTTGTATCGTTTGTTTTATTGACTGGTCTAGACAGCCAGCCAGTTCCCTTTGCACCTATCTGAGTGAGTGAGTGAGTGAGTAAGTGACTCTCACTTCAGATTTGGACTAGTTTTAGATTGGCATAGAGAGCTGGGCAGTGTTCGTACACGATCGTCTGGTAACGCCAGTGAATGGGATAATGCAATTCCATATTAAAGACCACATGCATATTAAACAGACTTGAATAACATGTGGGCTCTATGAGACCAGCTTTTGTTGATGAATTTAGTATCTAAAATTAAAATGCGATGTGATGCTGAAGCAGGATGATTTAAAGAAGAACACTATATTTACTATATTTCCTTCTTGAGAGGATATTAATATGTCATTATCCTTTTTAGACGGAGAAAAAAACAGGAAGGAAACAATCCAAACAATGGCCCTGCGGATGCATACAGGAGAGTACCACCAGGTCAGTCACTTCATTTTATTGTTCATATTTCAAAGTTAGCTGAAGACGTTTTAATAACATAATGTTTTAGATATCATTCTTGCACCCATTTCACAATCATTTATGGAAATTTTAATATCGTCACACATGTACATTCAAGCAAACTATTATTTAAAAGCAGTCATTCAGCTAAGCCATCTTGCAAGTGACACAAGCACAGTTTGCTGAATTAAAATTTTTCTTTTGTGCAAAGAACCGACTTATTAGCATTTCTTTGAAACGAGGACTGCTCATTTTGGATTACCGATTTTGTTTCTATGCAGGAGATATCTGTCTTCAGAATTTGTAATCAAAGTGGCATCATGGAATGGAAGTAAACACCGCAAGAAGTTTCAGCCAAACAAGATGAGAGCAGAGTTTATAAAATGTTTATGCAATATGTTATGTTTCGCTTAGCATATTAAATAGTTATATTGAAGCACCAATTAAAGACCATACCGAGGCTGAATCGGATTACTTTGAACACGTAGCAGGGTATTTTGATTTGAAAATTTATTATCATAAATTTATTATTATCATGCAAGAGCAAACACTCTCGCTTTTCAAACGGCTCTTGTCTACAGGTTTTGGTAATAATTTGCACTCATTTAGATTCATGCTTTGTAATATGCCTGTGGGATGTTTATCAGCTCGGAGAACACTTATATGTGATTATGGAAAACAAAATTTTCGAAGCTATACATGCCTGGATAAAGTGTGTGATGCAGGCACAGAATGTCATATGGTATATTTTCACGACTATAAATTATTTCTTATTTATTCTACAGAGCTTTCTATTTTGGCAATTTATGAAAAAATAGTGGAGAGGCTACACGTACCATAGGCATTATGTAAAATTATGCTGCATTAAACCAGACTTCTGAGTTCTCCTCTCCACCAGACAAAGCCTTAATCTCAATTGTGGAACATTTAAGCAATAATTCAATCTTTTGCACACGGATTCATTTGAGGTTGCATTTTGTACATTTTGTTCGTGTCTCCATTGAAGTGCCACGATGCAGCACAGAGGGACATTACAGAGTGTTTGGAACGTTACAATATTTCAACAACGAATGCCATTGATGAAAATCAATCACTTAAGGACTTTTACCGTGAATAAAATCCAGTTGTCTGTTTACGAGCTTCTTGGTCAGTTTTGTGGACAAAGTAACAAATTGAATAACTTTACGAATGTGTTGAATTTCAACGAAGGATACACAACACGAAGGGCAACAACTAATATTAATTTACATCACCCCGACGCAAATTCCATCTTATGAATAGAGGGATACATAGTTCCAGTTTGAGCGCAGGCCTTATTATTAAACACTCATAATACGTTGGTTAAAATTTGGTTGGTTAAAAAAAGTGGTAAAATTTTAACCAACAGTGTGTAAATGTTTTCCAATTTGACCAATGCAGGGTACATTTTACCCAACGTTGGGTAAAATGTGGTCATTTTTAACCAACTTTTTGACCAACTGTTGGGCTGTTCACCTGGTAACAAACGGTTGATTAAAATAAGTCATTTTGGGCCCACCCAACGTTGATTAAATTTAACAAAATTAACAAACGCTAAGTATTAAGTTTAGCTATTTTAACCAACCGTTGATTACCAGGTGAACAGCTCAACAGTTGGTTAAACAGTTGGTTAAAAATGAATCAATTTACCGAACGTTGGGTAAAATGTACCCAACATTGGTAAAATTGGAAACATTTACACAATGATGGTTAAAATTTCAACCAACGTTTTTAACAAACCAAATTTTAGCCAACGTTTTGAGACTGTAGGTTTTTTTCTGAATTAAAACCTCAGACATGCGTGACAACCCAGGCAATGGACCTGGACCATGGATTATTCATGGCATACGTGCTACATATCTACATTGAATACATTAAAGCTGCGTCAGTTGAATTTTGCCCTAAAGAGTGAATGTATAGGCCCCTTGAATTCATAATTTGAGCTATGTGAGGGTTATAGTTCCTACAAACCGAGTCATGTTTGACTGGGTAGGCTACACAATTATCCTCAAGATTAATTTGTCAGACATCACATCTAGATGTAGCTCATGGGGAAATTACTCAACTAGAATAATAATCACCACTAAACTTTGAAAACCTTGAAATGTACAGACCGGGAATAGAACGAAATTAATTACATTTTCCCTTAATCTTTTGTTGTGTTCAGCATTAGCTGTATATACAGCTCAAAATAGCTGACTACCTCACCGTTCGTGAGCTTTTTCGGATTGAACTTTGACACTTTAGGCATGGTTTCTTTTCAATACAAATAGTGATCATATCCACCATTGTGGAGTCGCAATAGCGTATGACAGGTAGCATCATGTAGTAAACCGAACGTTATGAACATAAACGTCATACGAAACCATTGCACAGTTGACATCTGTCTCGACATTTAAAAAAAAAGACTTTACACCCATATTAAGCACTTTAAACTTCCGAAAGGACTTCGGAACTTCTGTATATAAAAACAAAAATGAATCAACATACAGTTTTGCATACACTATTGATCTTTTTGTGGTGTTTGTCGGATTCAACCAGACGCATGGTTGTCACTGCAGAACCCACAGTGACTGCGTGGATCGTAACACCGGAGGCTGATCGTAAGGAGGGCGGGCGAGTGGAGATGAGATGTGAGGCTACAAACCTGGAGGCTGATCACATCGTGGAGTGGGCGACTGAGGATCCAAAATTGACTCTTAGATGGGGTAACATTACTTTAGCAGGAACTGACAGGCGATTGATGTTTGAGACGAAGCAAACGGGCGATAGAGAAATTACTCAAGAATTCAACATCACAGATTTACAACGGAATGACACCGATGAATACATTTGCAATGTTAATGATCCAAAGGCTGGAGGAAGACATAACATTGTAGCCACTGCTAAGCAGAGTTGCTGACTCGAGTCATGTTACTTGGACTCGAGTCGGACTCGAGTCGCTATTTTTGTGACTTGTGACTTGACTTGTAAATACCAGCTTTGACTTGTGACTTGACTTGGACTTGCAAACAATGACTTGTGACTTGACTTGGGATTGCCAAAAATGACTTGTTACCAACCCAAGTCAGACGCTACTCGAGCGACCCAATACACTTTAATTAAGCTATTATACTTTTAATTAGCTATTCGGTTTACGCCTTACGTGCATTAAAAAACGGACTTTGGCTTGCGCGGTTTCTACTTCGCCCAGCTGCAGCTGTAGATCATATCAGTGAGCTGAGCTGTTACGTTGCGTACGCGCGCGTGAGTGAAATAAATAGTGACTGCAATATGTCATAATTGATAAGCAAGCATGGCGGCTTCTAGCGGTGTTGTTCCACGGGTGGCACGTGTATTCAGTCATGGAGCAATAATTATGAGGCCACACAGAGCAAAGTTGAGTGATACTATGCTATCAAATCTTGTTTATTTAAAGTGTAACAGTTTGTACATGAAAAAAAAAAAATAAATTGAAGTCGCACAACACAAGGCCCCAAAAGGCCACTCAAGGTGTTTATAAATGCAGTTTATAGATGCAGCGAGAAAGTTTCATTCCAGAAAATAGACCTCAGTGACTGAATCCAGTAAAATGAATAGTTCCCACTAGTTTCAAAAGTTTTCAATAAGACTGTCACAACAAACTACAGTTTTCAATGACCAAGTCTCTTGCTTAATGTAATGGTTGAACAAACTTTGAAAGGAACCTTTCATGAAAAGAAAGCAGGCCTTTGTCAATTGCATGTAAAATACCGGATAGTCTAACCCATTGGTAGGCGTTTTAACAGTATACATGAAAATTGAACAATAAAGTGTTAGTATACTACATGTAATCGAGTGAGCGAAGTCTTTTTTCATGTCATCTCTACATTTATTTCTACAATGTAAAGTAAATTTATCAAAGTATATAAAGTATACAAAGGGCTAATATCCGACAGATATGTGATAAACTACAAGAATAGTAATTGCAACACATTGAAAAAGGGGAATTAAGGAGGCATGTTCAAAATAACTCGGAAGTTGACGCCAGTTTTTTTTTAGCTTATTACAGCTGGACAAAATAATGTGCAACTTGACGTGTTCTTGGACAAAGATACTTGTGACTTGACTTGTTTTTAGACCAAATGACTTGTGACTTGACTTGTGACTGGACCTAATGACTTGTGACTTGACTTGTGACTGGACCTAATGACTTGTGACTTGACTTGTGACTGGACCTAATGACTCGTGACTTGACTTGGACTTGCAAACAATGACTTGTGACTTGACTTGGACTTGCAAACAATAACTTGTGACTTGACTTGGACTTGCAAAAAATGACTTGCTACCACCTCTGGTCAGGTCCACCTTAGCAGCAGAGGTGGCAGCAAGTCATTTTTTGCAAGTCCAAGTCAAGTCACAAGTCATTGTTTGCAAGTCAAAGTCAAGTCACAAGTCATTAGATCCAGTCACAAGTCAAGTCACAAGTCATTAGGTCCAGTCACAAGTCAAGTCACAAGTCATTTGGTCTAAAAACAAGTCAAGTCACAAGTATCTTTGTCCAAGAACACGTCAAGTTGCGCATTATTTTGTCCAGTTGTAATAAGCTAAAAGAATTAACCTGGCGTGAACTTACGAGTTATTTTGAACGTGCCTCCTTAATTCCCCTTTTTCAATGTGTTGCAATTACTATTCTTGTAGTTTATCACATATCCGTCGGATATTAGCCCTTTGTATACATTAATAAATTTACTTTACATTGTAGAAATAAATGCTGAGATGACCGTGAAAAAAAAAGACTTCCTCACTCGATTACATGTAGTATACTAACACTTTATTGTTCAATTTTCATGTATACTAAACGCCTACCAATGGGTTAGGCTATCCGGTATTTTACATGCAATTGACAAAGGCCTGCTTTCTTTTCATGAAAGGTTCCTTTCAAAGTTTGTTCAACCAATACATTAAGCAAGAGACAATTGGTCATTGAAAACTGTAGTTTGTTGTGACAGTCTTATTGAAAACTTTTGAAACTATTCTCACAATTCTTTTCCAATAAGACCCAGACCATCATTGCCGAACTTGATAACGCTTCAACAGTTGAGACAACAGTACCAGTGGCCGACTCGTGCGAGACATCTTTCACTGGATTTGACATCCTTTCTGATAGTACTGTCAGAAAGTTGATCACCGGGTCACCTTCAACAACATGCAGACTTGATCCAATTCCCACATCGTTACTGAAGAAGTGTCTAAATGAACTCACTCCCATCATGACAACAATCATCAATCTCTCCCTTGAGAACGGCCATTTTCCTGATGCTTTCAAATCTGCCCACGTCACCCCCCTGCTCAAGAAACCCAACATGGATCCGGAACCACTAAAAAACTACAGACCTATTGCCAATTTGAAATTCCTCGCTAAGATAACTGAACGCGCAGCTTCGTCTCAGGTCCAAGATTATCTTCTAGAGAACAGTCTTCACAGCAACATGCAGTCTGCATACAAGCGTCGTCATAGTGTGGAGACGGCTCTTCTCCGAGTGAACAACGACTTGTTACTAGCTGCTGACAAGGGCCAAGAGGCGGTTCTTGTCCTACTGGACTACTCCGCAGCCTTTGACACCATCAACCACGAGATCATGCTTCATCGTCTTTGTCACAGGTATGGCATATCCGGCCATGCTATCAATTGGTTCGAATCCTACTTCAAACACCGTACTCAGCACATTTCAATAAATGATGACCTATCTGACGCTTATGTCCCTGAAGTCGGTGTCCCTCAAGGATCTGTGCTGGGACCCTTGTGTTTCATAATGTACACATCCCCCCTTGAGGACATAATTGAGGCCCACGGTGTCGGAAAAATGATCTATGCTGACGACACTCAAGTTTACATCATTTTGAAAGAGCGGGATCGACCTACAGCCATTCCCCAGTTAGAACTCTGCCTTAACGACATCAAATCATGGTCCACAGCAAATAAACTGAAATTAAATGCAGACAAAACGGAGGTCCTTCATATAACATCCTGCCATAGAAGCCATACTCAACTCCCCCCTGTTCATATCGGCAACTCTTCCCTCCAGCCCGTTTCCAAGGTACGAAACCTAGGTGTTACAATGCAACCTAATCTACAAATGGACACGCACATCAATAGCA